ATGTAATGATGTTTACTTTGAATTTATATTAGTTCACACAAACACTCTATCCATGCTTTTGTTTCGGCCCTCCGGTCCAGTTTAAGAACCCATTGTGGCCCTTGAGTCAAAAAGTTTGCCCACCCCTGGTCTAGTCTTTACTCTTCACCACCTCTCCTGGCTAAATAAGCAAATCACATCAAATAAGGGTAATGAAGACAGATAAAGATGAGAAAGACAACTTTTTCCAAATGACAAATGTGTCATCACCTAAATAATCAGCTTTCTGTAACCTAGAAACTATTTTCTAAAGCTACTTCACATGTTAGAGGCTGAAAGCAATAGACTGCAAGTTTGTTTCAGAGGTTAACCACACAGTTTAACAACTAACATTTAAAGTTTGCATTGTGCTTACACACATATTATTAAACAAAATATGTTTGCTATCTATCAAAAATGGAATTTAAAACTGTAAGTACTGTAATTAGAAGAAATTTGGGCATTTTAAGTAATTGAAAGTTACAGAGACTGTAACAGGACAATAGGAAAAGACTCATTTTGAAGGGAATACAATGCTGTATTGATAAGTATGATTAACATCTTAACATCAAAATAAATCATAGAGTAAGATAGTCTGACTTACGAATATGCTCAATCCAACTGTCAGAATGTTGACACATGGAGTAAAATAATTAAGGAAAATCATACTATTAGGATGTTCACTACTGAAAACAAATTTAAAAGGACCATTCTTGAAGTTTAAGCAATAATCAGTAAGAGATTGAAGCTAGACTCAAATTACTGGCATAATTTTGCTTTTAAAAAGTTAAAACTTGCCCTGGCCGGTTTGGCTCAGTGGATAGAGCGTCGGCCTGTGGACTGAAGGGTCCCAGGTTTGATTCTGGTCAAGGGCACGTACCTCGATTGCAGGCTCCCAGTCCTGGTCAGGGGATATGTGGGAGGGAACCAATCAATGTGTCTCTCTCACATGGGTGCTTGTCTCAGTCTCTCCCTCTCCCTTCCACTCTCTCTAAAAATCAATGGGGAAAAAAATATCCTCAGGTGATGATAAAAAATAAATAAATAAAAAGTTGAAGCTTTTAGATTAAAAAAACAACTGCTCCAGGGATATTCTTGCCTTTTCAAGCTATTAGATAAAATATCTTTGACAGCTGACAAACAATTCGACAATAAGCCATGGATTTCTGGTTTCTCAGGCAGGAAAGCAATTTCTCTCTCCTCAGCATTTCTATAGTACTTTATCTGTAGCTGTCTTAAGTCACTCACCACTTTCTATCTTCTTTTCATATTATTTTCATACCTTTCTTACCAATCTTACCAGACTGAAACTCTTCTGCACATAACAGAAGCCTACAAAATATGTCACAGTACATTATCCTAACAGTAATCAAATTATAAAACATACACTTACAGCCCGGCCAGTATGGCTCATTGGATTGAGCATCATCCTGTGCACCAAGAGCTCACTGGTTCAATTCCTGGTCAGGGCACATGACCGGGTTGCAGGCTCGATCCCCATTGGGGGATGTGCAGAAGGCAGCCGATCAATGATTCTCTCTCATCATTGATGTTTCTATCATCCTCTCCCTTCCTCTCTGAAAGCAATAAACATTTTTTTAAATAAACAAAACAAGATGATTTTCGTTAATGATAAAGTACTCTTTAGAAAACAGGACAAAGTAATAAAAGTGTTGCAGATTGGGTTTGTGGGAACTACCTAAAGTTGAGGGCTCTGAAAAGGGCCAAATGAGGTGAAATTTGAGCCAAGACCCGAATGATGAGCTGCACAAAAGGCTGGAGAACAAGGGAGGCTGAGGGAGCAGCAAGCATGAAGACCTCGAGGTGGGGAATTCATGCCTTCGTGGACAGAATGTAGTGAGCTAAGCAGGAGGAAAAAGCAAGGCTTATATTACATGGGGCCTTACGGTAAGTTTGGGGGGGGGGGGGGTGTTTAAAAAGGAAATGGCAGGTCTTTCACCCAGAACTACTTTTGGAGAATGGATTATAAGAGGACATAAGGTAACTATTAACAACAGTCCAGGTGAGAGATGATGAATGTTTAGAATAAAGTGATAGCAACTGGGGATGGAGATAAGTGGATGCTTGAAGTCATAGAGACAAAAGAACTTGCTGATTAGATGTAAGGATTCAAGGTTTGTGAAACCATTTACAGTTAAGTCCTCACTTAATTTATCAATAGATTCTGTGATTTAAAGAAACACAAAACCACTTTTTCCATAGGCCAACTGATCTAAACAAAAGTTCCTATTTTCTAATGAAATGACTTTGAACGAAATCATATTATTCTAGGACCTGCTGTATTTCAATGAAGAACACTGGGGGTAGAACAGGTTTGGGTCTTTCTGAATGTTAAGTGTGAGATGCAAAACCAGGTGGGAATGTTCACTTTCAATTACTGAGGTTCCCCTGTAACAGCGGTTCTCAACCTGTGGGTCACGACCCCTTTGGGGGTCGAACGACCCTTTCACAGGGGTCGCCTAAGACCATCGGAAAACACATATATAATTACATATTGTTTTTGTGATTAATCACTATGCTTTAATTATGTTCAATTTGTAACAATGAAATTGGGGGTCACCACAACATGAGGAACTGTATTAAAGGGTCAAGGCATTAGGAAGGTTGAGAGCCACTGCCCTATAAGTTTGAGGGGAAGAAGAGGAACCATGTTCCTTATCTTTGTTACTCCAAAGCCTGCCATCCTGCCTGCTACACCCAGTTAAGGACCCAGTACATGTCTTTGAGAAGGATAGCTATTTCCTTTCCCAAGCCAAAATCCTGTGGGGTTTTTTGTCAAGTCCAAATCCTTGAGGATGGGGATTCCTTATCTGCACAACGACTAACAAAGGGGCTCTGGTACCTAGTGGGAGTGTGCCAATGCCTAGACGAATGACGTCTACGGGATGGCAACATTTGTGTTTGGCTTTAACTGTAAACATTATTTATGCAGGGTGGGGACTCTCTCAAATAAAGGTCATTTTTCCTCTTCAGTGTAGTTTTATGTTGAAGGTGAGCGCAAAAGCATTAAAAAAAAAAAAATTACCTTTTACCATGAACAGCCAGGGCTCGAGGCACACTGACAACCACAAAGGCACGAGACTACTAAGGAATGGTCAGCACCTGGGCAACCGAGGCTGCCAGCCCCTCCACCCCGGCAGGTGGAACCAACAAGGAGAGTGAGCCGCTCCTCCCAGCCAGCGCTGCAGGACAGGCGGTGGGCGAGGGAGGGAGTCTGTAGTCCTCACAATACCGGGAAGGTGTCGTTCAGATCCGCCACGCATCTTAGAGCTGACACAGCTCAAAGGGACTCTGCCTCATCCCGCTTGCAGCGGTTCTCAACCTGTGGGTCGCGCCCCCTTTGGCGGTCGAACGACCCTTTCACAGGGGTCGCCTAAGACCATCCTGCATATCAGATATTTACATTACGATTCATAACAGCAGCAACATTACAGTTATGAAGTAGCAACGAAAATAATTTTATGGTTGGGTCACAACATGAGGAACTGTATTTAAAGGGCCAGAAGGTTGAGAACCACTGGCTTAGAGTCAGGTCTCGCCTTATCGCTCGGGTCCCAGTCCTGGCCTCTCCCACTCTCCTGTCCACAAGTCGTGAGGAGCACAGAAAAACTCCCCGGCACAGAGCAATGGACGAAAAAGCCACTCGCACCTCCACCATCGAGGGGCAGAGGGCACCTCTGCGAGCCCGAGCAGTCCGTCCCAAAGCCAGGCATGCCCTGGCTCTCGGGCACACGGTCCCCGCTCGCCCGCCGTCCCCTCGCGGCTCCATCTCGCTCACCGACAAAGAACCCGGAGATTTCAGGCCGCGGGAACGCAACACGACCTGCCGGCGGGTGTGGCCCGGCTGAGGGGAAAGATGCGACACCTCTGGGTGCATCCCCTCTGGGTGCAAGCGACAGCGAAGGATATGAGGAGCCGAGGCAGGACAGTCGGCAGCTCCCGGCGGCACAGCTCCTCGGGCCAGCTGCTCAATTCCTCCAGGGGGACGGCGCTCGCCGAGACGGCGCCTTCCTGAGACATGTTTTTGCCCCGCAACCAGCTTCAAATCAGTCCCGCCACCGCCGAGACCGGAAACGCCGCCGTCCCGGCAGGCCTTGCGAGCTCTCCGACGGCGCCAATACCATAGAGAGGGAGCGGGCTGCGCTCCTTGTTGAGCCCGGCGCGGCTGTGAAAAGGCGGGCCTCTCTGGCCCGCGGAGGACTCGACTCACTGGTGCGCGCTTTCAGCCCCGAGCATCTGGCGTGACATGAGGTTTCTACACGCGGCCGTGAGCTGGGAACTGGCGGAGCTGTGAGCATCCCAAGGTCTAGATTACTGTCTTTGTTGTTACATTGAGGCGCTTTGGGGAGGTGAAGGCCGTAAGTCCCCAGATTTGCTACCGTCGATCCCAGGGGGCTTTGAGATTGCGTATCTGATGTGGTTGGATCCGGTTCCTGTCCACTTCACCGTGTGACCCTACTTTGTACGTCTTCAATGGGAATAGAGACCCCACCTGCCAGAATTGTACGATCTGAAGCAGGTCTAGTACCGTGAGAGTCTCGGTAAAATTGCTTCTACTGTCCACAGGCCTCTCCAACCGTTCAGTGTCCTTATTGTGTGTTTGTTCTGCCGCCAAACTGACCTTTACTGATTACTCCAAAATCACCCCACTCCCATGCACTTAGGGCTGCTGATATCCACTAAGTGTTGTGAGGTCATTTGGATGAACTTGCACCAGAGTAGAACCGTGCAAGTTTTTACAGGGCTACACATTTAACAAAATAAACTTGAATTCCTGTTACTTGAAACAGGAACAGACTGAGTGAAGAGATGCTGTCAGTTTAGTAGGTTAATATGTTCGGGCAGCGTCATGACAGCTGACGGACACCAAGCGGCTAGACTTGTCAGTTCCTTCCCGAAAATTTGGGACTTTGTTTTTTCTAGTTGTTGCTGCTGTTGTTCTATTATTTGTTTTTACTCTTCATTCTCTAATCCAGCTTTTGACCCCTGCGGGGTTGTGTGTTTCCAAATCTCCTTATTTCCCTCAAAACTTGTATAGAAAAAGTAGCTAGCTGAGGGGTTTGGGGTGATTACTGTTTACTATTATATTTTAAGGAAATGTGTCATTTTGCTTTTTACTAACAATTTTATTTATTTTTTCCTTCAATACCATAGAGAGAGGAAATGTGTCATTTTGCTTTTTACTAACAATTTTATCTTATTTTTTCCTCCAGAGTTAAACAGAAAGAAAAGCAAAGACCTCTAAAAAGTCATTTGGAAACATCTCTAAATATTTGTAACTGTATAAGCCACTACAGAGAAAGTGACCCAAACAAAACTACTTAAATAACTGAAACAGGTTTATGTTGTGTGTCATCAATTCTATCCAGAAGCTGAGGAGTCTCCCTTTGAACTGAAGGATTGTACGAGGATGACCTTCCAATTTAATTTCACTATAGAAGACCATCTGGATAATGAATTAACGCCCCCTGGAGATGGAACTTTGACCCCAAATTCCTCAAAAGAGTCTTCAGTCTCAGAAAGTCAAAAAGGTAAACACGAGGACACAAAATGTTCTACAGAGCAGTCTGTCTTGCCTCCGAATCACTCGTGGGGACCTACGTCAGTGGGACATGCAGCCCCCTCCCAAGACACATGCAACTCACTCAATGCAGCTCACAGTTCAGGGAACTTAGAGCCTCATGAAAAACAGCCTTGCTTGAGACTTGCCAAAGAGCATGCTGTGCCTAAAGATTTAAAGAAAGTGTTAGAAAATAAAGTCATAGAAATATTACCAGGTCTCCAGCACGTTAACATATCAGTAGTGAAAACCATCTCGTTGAAAGAGAATTTCCCTGGAGAAAACATCGTTTCAAAGACCTTTTCTTCTCACTCTGATCTGATTACCGGTGTTTATGAAGGAGGTTTAAAAATCTGGGAATGTACCTTTGACCTCCTGGCTTATTTCGCAAAGGCCCAAGTGAAATTTGCTGGGGGGAAAGTGTTGGATCTTGGCTGTGGATCAGGGTTGCTGGGTTTAATTGCACTCAAGGGAGGGGCCAAAGAAGTTCATTTTCAAGATTATAACAGTTTGGTGATCGACGAAGTAACTTTACCTAACGTGGCAGCTAACTCCACTTTGGAAGATGAAGAAAATGATGGAAATGAGCCGGATGTGAAAAGATGCAGGAAACCAAAAGCAGCACAAAAACTAGGTCAATGCCGGTTCTTTTCTGGGGAGTGGTCTAAGTTTTGTAAGCTTGTAACCAGTGAAAAACATTTTGAAAAATATGACCTCATTCTCACCTCAGAAACGATTTACAATCCGGATTACTATGATACTTTGCACCAAACATTCCTTCAATTGTTAGGTAAAAATGGGCGGGTGCTTTTGGCCAGCAAAGCACATTATTTTGGTGTAGGTGGAGGTGTTCATCTCTTTCAGAAGTTTGTAGAAGAAAGGAATGTATTTAAGACTAGAACACTTGAAATAATTGATGAAGGACTAAAAAGATTCCTAATTGAAATGACTTTTAAGTATCCTAGTTAATGTCCACGAGTGTCATAAGTAAAATAAACAGAATAACTAAAAACTTTGCTACTTTTTATAATACAATTAGCGTGTCCTAAGTAAAATAAACAGAATAACTAAAAACTTGTTGAGAATGTTTAATTTCTGCTTTGCTACTTTTTATAATACAATTAGCAAGGGTCTTATTTTTTAATATGTATTTTTATTGTTGATGGTATTACAGATGTCTCCCATTTTCTCCCTCTTTTCCCTGCTCCTCCCAGGCCCTACCCCCCCACCCCTCCAGGTCTTCACCATCCTATTGCCCATGTCCATGGGCAATGCATATAAGTTATTTGGTTTATCTCTTCTCGTCCCTCTCAACCCCGCATCAAAGTATGTCAGTCTGTTCCATGCCTCCATGCTTCAGGGCTTATTTTGAGAAATTAGGATTCAATAAAATATATTTACTGGACTTCTGTTAACTAGGTACTTTCTATAGCATCTTGCTTAATATTTATAACCTTATGAGGCATATAGCATCCTCATTTTAATAATGGTCACAATAGCTAACAATTCCCAGTATTTACTATGTGCAGGGCAGAAAAGCTTTACATATACTAACATTTAATATTAATAACAGCCCTGAATTGGGCTATGATTCAGGTTATAATTAGTATCTCCATTTTATAAAGAAAATGCAGTCAAGGAAGTAATTAAACCCCCATCACATTTCTCACCTTGAACCAGAATCTGAACTGATGTCTATTTAAAAGCTTTTCTTACCTACCCCAGTGGTCTCAACTTTACCACTGCCTGTTTTTCATCACAAATATTTAGCACCCTTGTATTATTCTGAAATGGAAGTCACATTTAAAGAATTTTATTTACGCCCATCATTAAAAATTGTATATATTATACATAAATCCCTAATGTGTGTATATACAGTTATATTATAAACATATCATGTATATAAGTTTAGTTAATATCCATTATTTCATATGGATACAAAAAAAATAAGAAAAATAAAACAATGTTTTTTTCCTTCTGATGGGAACTTTTAGGATGTACTTTCTTAACTTTTATATATACCAAGAGTGGGAACCTTTTTTCGGCCAAGGGCCATTTGGATATTTATAACATCATTCTCGGGCCATACAAAATTATCAACTTGAAAATTAGCCTGCTATATGTGGTCAAAATATTTAATTAACCCACCCTAACGCCTTGGAAGAGCCAGACCAAATGATTTTATCTTCCCCCTCTCCCTCCAATAATTAGATAGTTGTCTTAGCCCCACCTAGGTGTATCCTTCCACTGCCCATTTCTGTACAAGTAGTAAACTGTTTTAATCAGTGTACCTATATAATGTAATTTTATCTGTCAGGCAAGACTTGCTCTTTCCTTTTCAAACCTTTCTCTTTGTTGTTGAAGGTACAGTGTATGTTATTTACTATTTATATATGTTTATTTTTCCCAGGTAAACTCTACAATCATTCCGACAATTTAAACAATTCCTTTGATATTATATTAAATATATAGCTTAAGTTGGTGGCAATTAGAACACTTAGACTATTACATATTCTAATCCAGTCTGACAGAGGGGAAGAAATCTAGATTGGGGGAAAGAAAGCAATGAAACCATTAGAGATAGAAATTTTATTATTATTCAAATAGCTATGCCAACTGGGGCCCTGAGAAGCTGCCAAAGGACTTTCCCAACTAACGTATACATCCCTGTATCACAGGTACCAGTCAGAGCAACACATCCAGAACAAAATTAGGATTAAAAAAAAAAGAGGCCCACCTTTCAGATCCCAATTCCTTTCAAAATATTCTATTAGAGTAGTTCTGAGCAAAACCCTTAGCTAGTGGCTGAAGGCTGGGGCTGGGCTGGGGCTGAGCCGGGGCTGGTTCTCAGGGCGGCAGCTGTCCTGAGGAGGAAGATGAGGACTGTGAATGAGGGACGGCAGCCTTGTTTCTGGGAAAGTAGTATCTGGTAAGGACAGTCAAGGAAGATGCATCTCATCACTTTAAAATCAACTTTACTAGAACTACTAGTTGTCTAGTTTAGTCATTGTTGAGATAACCACTCCAGAAGTAGAATGCCTTTAATTCCCTTTCACCATATTACAAATCCTTCAGATGTTGATAGTACTTATTACTGCTATTGCTGATGTACTAGAATGCTTTTGATACTGCTTGAATTATGCAAGAGTATAAAACATGACTTCTCTACTAAGTTTTTATAGTAACTTAAATACCTTGAAAACCAACACTGAGTGAATTAATTTCAGTAAGTATCTAAGTAAAAAAAAGATAGAGTTTCTATATGATTATAACATTTGGACTTCTTGTAATAGTTCAAACAATTCTAACTTATACAACCAAGAGGTCATTAGAAGAAAATACTAGTCTAGCAAAACTAGATTATATCAGAGGAATGGTGGCGTGGGAGACCCCTTAGTCTCTCCCCTGGAAGTTTCAACAACCCGAACACCCAGATTTCAACAAAAGATTCCCTGCTCAAGCACAAATATGCCTGAGAGACCCACGCAGTGAAACATCTCAAGATGGGCATGTGGAGCAAAAGGGGAGGCAAAAAGGGAGTGGGGCTGATATGAGCCAGGAACACAGCCAGGCTCAGCTGGGAGAGGGGAGGAATCTGGTCATTGTGGACAGCCCGTTGGCCATCACCACCTTTCCATGATGCTTGGCCACCACCTTCTCTAACCTTGGCCCCAGGATCTTGCAGGGGCCACACCACTGTGCATGAAAATCCACAACCACGGGTGTCTCACTGTTGACAACTCATTCTTGAAAGTCAGGTCCATCCTGGATGTTAAAGGTTGTTGTGTAGACTGGTGGTATGGGGGGATGTTACTGTCAGGTTACCAAGACTTTGTGGGGTCTACACAGATCTGGAAGTGAGGGGTGCCCACCGACCTTGAGATTTCCTGGAGATGTCAGGTACCTCCTCAGGAGAAGCCGCTGAACTATCAGAAACCCTGGCTCTCTGGAGGGCAGGCCCTCCCACCCTGGGCCTCCTTCCACTCGGCCACTGGACCCCACGGGAAGGTGCCCGCAGAGTGCCTCAGCCAAGACACCACCTCCAGCCACCCACATGGGTCTCCTCTCATGTGTCTTTTAGCTCTTGGCACCCAGAAAGGCTTGGATGTACTTGTCTTCTTCGATAAAAGTTAGAAAGTGCTCCTTAGATTTTCTCTCATTAAAGAGGGGCAGAGTGATAAATGTGGCAGAGGAGGCTTTGGCGTTGGAGTAAACAGTGATATCAGAAAATGTAGGACATTTTCCCTTTTGAAGTGGGAGGGGTCACTATTGGAGTAACAAAAGGATACACATAAGTTGGGATGCCTTTTGCAGCCAAGTATTTCCGTATAAGTCGCTCAGTACCATACCAGTTGAAACCTTTCGTAGCATGCCCAATGCGTGGGAGATGGACACTTGCTGTTGAAAAGAAGAAAGAATAGATTATGATGTCTTCCTTGATCAAAAATGGATTGGTGGATATATATATATATATACACAAAGGAGAAAATAATCTTTACTCTTAGTCACTCTGTGGTTTCCAATTTCCGTATAAGTCGCTCAGTACCATACCAGTTGAAACCTTTCGTAGCATGCCCAATGCGTGGGAGATGGACACTTGCTGTTGAAAAGAAGAAAGAATAGATTATGATGTCTTCCTTCATCAAAAATGGATTGGTGGATATATATATACACAAAGGAGAAAATAATGTTTACTCTTAGTCTCTCTGTGGTTTCCAACGGACCAAACGTACATAATCATGGAGCATCCCACTCAAAGCACACAATTATAACATCAAGAATATTCTGGGGAGGGATGTAATACGGAAAAATAATTCTGTTGAACACAAGGACTGACCTACAGGTAGACCCTGGAAAGAAGTAGGTACAATGGAAACAGAATATATGATCAATGGTCGAGATGTAATCAAAATCAGCAAAGATTCTTTAACAAGTCAATCAGTTCAACAAACTCTGAGATATACAAGGTTTGGAAACAACACTAAACTATGGTTTTTGACAGAGAACTGTCTGCTGATGTGGACTGTGACTCTCCAAGAGAGGACATGATAGAGGGCATTTCCCAACTGCATATGACCAGTTTACTTCACCTCTGGTGCCTCCTTCCTCATCTGTAAAATCATGACACAAGTCCCCCAGTGGATGCAGATGGTACACAGAGATCACAGATACAGGGATACAGAAAAAGGGCTTTACAAATACAAGATGACAAGGTGGTTACTTCTCTCGCCTCTCACATCGGGACTTACCTTTATATGTATACTGAACAGGTTCTTGACATTTCTCACCCCTTAAAAACTGTATTACAGAAATCCATCTACTCCTGAGGACACATGGAGGAGCTCACCTTTCTTTTTCTTTGCTGCTAAAAAAATCTTCTTCAGGCCCTCTTCTAGGGCTGTCATCTTAATGCTGGACAGGACATTGGAGCGATCACGGTGCTGAGCCACAATCAAGGCCAACTAGGAGAAACCATCATTAATAGCTGACACGGCATGAGATGGCTACACAGCCAACTAAGTGATCTGCCGTTGGAGGGGGTGTGAGCATTCCCCCAACAGGCATAGCCCTATATGGATCACTCAAGATAGCTCCACCTCTTTTGAATGCTCTGCCTGAGTAGCCATATACTACCAAATCTATGATTTCACACCCCATTGTAATTGTTTTATCTTATTTTGTGGCAACTTTATATAAGCTTTTCTTACTCTTTTTAAGATATGTTAAAACCTGACGCCCAGCTGGCATGGCTCAGTGGCTGAGCGTCGACCTATGAACTAGGTGGTCACGGTTCAATTCCCACTCAGGGCACATGCCCGGGTTGCGGGCTCGATTCCCAGTGTGGGACATGCAGGAGGCAGCCAATCAATGATTCTCTCTCATCATGGATGTTTCTATCTGTCTCTCCCTCTCCCTTCCTCTCTGAAATAAATAAAAATATATTTAAAAATTAGAAGAAGAAAAAAAAAAACTTGAGTCCAAGACATGTTGGCCTTTCTAAATGCTCTCAAGGAT